AGCAGACCTCCACATGGAATGCTATAATGAAACTGTTAGTGCAATCTCCTAGTAGCAGCAGCTGCATGAGCCCATACTTGTGCTCACTCTGGAGAAGTAGTAAACATGTATTGGGATTCCAACCACGGATGCCACGCCCTGTAAACTAAAAAGCACCATTGAAATTGTTTGAAATCGTTGACTTGATTGTAGAACAGCTTACCACCATGAAGTACAGCCCATTCGTGAGCTCTCGGTTTGGGAGTAAGAAATTCAGCAGTACCAATGCGGAACGGAAACTAAACTGCTGCCCACCAGTTGGGGATTGTCTGTGCGTACCGTGATAAAGTCTGTTGGATCTAAAATGTGCTTGATATATATAAGGTGTGCATTATCTTGAATGGCCGCCACCTCAGCTGCTGTATCTTTGCGCTGCGATAAAGCAATCCTGATGAGTAAAGAGAAGCTGGGAGCTGAGAGTCTTTCAATATGCAAGCAGAAGATATAATTATTTTGGGCACATGGTTGCTTGTTGTACTATCTGCTTGTTGCTCTGACGAAGATGAAATTGTAGCATACTATTGCGGGCCGGAAACAGTTCAAATCGTTGGCGCACGGCATTGCCAGCATTGAATTGTGTACGTAAGCAACAACGTAGCAGAATTAAGCAGTGAGCATAACGGAATGTGGTGGTTTCACAGTTTGATATTGGAATGGCGGAATTTATCTGCCGTACGCAGAAATGCCAGCACTCGGAAAAGTGCGCGAGCGCCGACAGGAAAATTCATTGATTGTAATCGCCCGCTCTCACTGGCTGACTCCCGCTCGCTTACTATTCCTAGGCTAGAGGCTGGGGAGAGGTCGCAAAACTCACCACTAGAGGCGACTATAACAGCGACTGGCACGGACGAGCGGCGCTCAGTTCTTTGAGGGTAGTTAGTTGGACAACGGCGTTGCCGAAAACGGGCCACCTCAGCTGCCGCACAACCAATTTTTGGGTTAGGAATATACACCACCAACACACACTCGAATTCCCTCACACGTACACACACACACACACACTCGCAGTATATGTATATGTATCTGACTGAGAAATGTATAAGGCCAAGAAAAATTCAGCTTAATTGCATTCGAAACGAGAAAAGTGAAATAGAAGGCAGAAAAAATGCCATCAACAGTCACAATTGTCTTCGAAATAGATCCAAATCCAAATTAGTCTCTCTGTGTGTGCGTGTGTCTATGTGTGTGTGTGCAAACGTATCTAGAATACATGTGAATGTTAACGTTAATGTGAATGTGGATGTGAACGTGAACGTGAGTGTGTCTTTGTATGCGTGTGTAGCAGCAATTGCGCTAGAGGCTGCTCCCTGGATACAGAAAAGTGATTTCCTGTAAAATGTGCAAAAAGCAACGCGACTAAAACGAGAGAAAACCCAAGTGCCGCACTTGAGGAAAACTCAACGAATATTCCAACAGAAATCCAATAAATACCCAGAGTTGTGTGATTTAAATCCCTGAGTATTCCCCGATATACATACATACTTACATACATACCCGTCTATACCGTCCATCAATCAAGGAGCGGACAAGTGAAATGTGGCTCTTGTTGTTGGCCCACTAAACGGTGTATCGATTTAGGGGAAAAGCAAAATTATTATAAATTGCTTCAACCTACATATAAGCCATGGGAGATATACTCCCCAACGGAACGCTGCCCCAGCCACCCACCGATACACGAACGCACACTCCCACACATGAATACACATACGCATACGGAATACGCATACGCTTACAGGGAGAGACATTAAGTTGGAAAAGCTATAAGCTGTGCGGTAGAGAAGGCTGGGCCCAGCGGATGGGGTGGACGAGTGGCGAACGAAGTAGCAGGAGGTGTTGGTGGTGGTGGTGGTGCCAACATAATGTTGTAGACCCCTACTGCGCCCTATGCCACCCACTTCCCTCGTAATTCGTTCATCGTTACGTCGAACGTTACGCCGTTCGGGAACGTATCTCGTGCGTAGCTTTCCCACTCGCTCGCTCTCTCCCTCTCCCTCTCTCTCTCTCTGTCCTTCTCTTCACTCTCTTTGCTACTCCAATATGCGGAGAACTCTTCAACTCCCTCACTGCTCTCTCTATGGTTGTATTTGTGTGTGTGTGCTCCGTGCGTCGAATGTGTGTCAGTGGCTTTGTCGGGGGTCAGTGGAGTGAGTGTGTGTGAAGTGTGGAGTGGAGCGTGGAGCATGCCCCAAACTCCAATCGTTATAAAATCCTCGTTGGGCACGAGCCACTAAAAGCACTCAAAGCGCACAACAATAAACCAACAGCAACAGCAACAAGAACAAGAACAAAAAGAACAAAAAACGGGCATACCGTAATTAGTTTATTAAGTTTGAAAGAGAGTTTTTAACTGATGCGGCACGGTCTCGATTTAATTATCTTCCTCCTCCGTACACGCAGCCATGTACATAAAACAAAACCGGTTAAAATCAAACACAAAATGCAATTAGCCAACCACAGAGGGCCACTAACAAGCACCGCAGAAGTCAACAAACTAACTAAAAAGTGTCATCAACTAAATTAGTGCAAGCAGCAGAAGGAAAAGTAGAAGGAGAAAGAGCAAGGGAAAGGTAGCAAAAGGGCCAGACGGAAACGGAAATGCCCATTGAGCCGACAACGCCACCGTCTGACGACTGCAACAACAGCAATAAAAGTAACGATACAACACTGCCCTGCCCCCACACACACTACCCCACACATGTAGCTTCTTTGTGAGCCAGTGCATTCGGTGTATGTGTGTGTGTGTGTGTGTGTCTGTATGCGTGTGAGCCAACAAATTGTTGCGGCTAATAGAACAGGAAGTAAAGGAGGAGGAGCTGCAGCAGCAGCAGCAGGAGCAAAAGCAATTTTCATACGCCCCCAGTTCGTCAGCGAAAATCATTCAAAATTCATCGTCTAAGCAAAACGGGTGAGCACTCTCAACCACACAACCACACAGCTACACAGCCACACAGCCACATAGTTACACAGCCATACGGGCACTGGGCCACTGGCCCACCCACAAGACAAACACAGACAGACAGACATAAACACTCTCCACAATAACTTCAATTTGCGATTTGATGTGAACTGTAAGCGATATTGATACATGTATATTGATTTCTAATTTCTGTTTTCTGAATTCTGATTTGTGCGTATGCCTTCTGTAGCCAGTGAGTACTGTACTGGCCCCGTACCTTAACCATCTGTCACTTGTCATTAGTCGGTAATCAGTTTGTCTGTCTTGTGTGTGTTGTATGCATTAAACCCTTCTCTTTTGTTCCAACTACTCTTCTTAACTATCTTTTCTTATTTCCTATCCTAATTATTATCCGAGTCCAGCGACCAGCATACCTACTATATGCTCGTAGTTCTCGTTTGCTTTAATTATTAACCCCAAAGATAATTTGCCACAAACTCTTAGCCCTAGTTAGAGCCATTATAGTCTAGTTTTAGTTTGATTTTACATATGTAAATAGTGTGTGAGTTACCATCTAGATTTTGCCCCATACGCTCCGCCAGACACCAGTCGCCAGTTGCCGCAGTCGAGGCTGTGTCAATCAGTTTGGCAAGCAATTTGTAAACTTATAATGGGATATATGAAATGGAATGGATGGATGGAATGGCAGGCTCAACGAATAACGCACCGGGGGAGGTCGTTGTTTCGATTTGGATTGCTCGCATGATTTGTCAGTCTCAGTCACAGCAGGGACTTGCCCCTAACTCCGTTTGCGTGTCAATGTTTTTAGGGTTTTTTTTTTGTACTCGTATGTGCATTGTATTTCCTCTACCAGTCGTCGTTATACGAGTATCAGTTGCCTGCTCTAATTTTAGATCAGTGGAATAATTTTTATTGATTTCAAATTTTAACCTTATTTGTGTGTGTTTTTTTTTTTGTTTTTGTGTGTTCTGTGTGTCTGGGCGCTTGTGTTTGTGTGGCTGTGTGGGTGTTGCAGCATAGGCCAAGAAAAGAAAACGCCGCCAATCCATACATTGGGGCAGTGGCAACAACAATATACGGCAAAATATTTTACGATGACGCTATTGTTGTGAGAGAGTGCCGAGGCCCAAGTGCCGCCTGGTGGGGAGCATCGCTCTTGCGCACAGCTCACTGTGGTGGGTTACCATTCAGCAACGCTCTATCCCCTCTCTCTCACTCACTCTCTTTTTCACCAGAGAGAGAGAGAGAGAGTATTTGGGGGCCAATTCAACATGTTTGTTTTGGGGTGGGCGGGCCCATGCCCATCTGCCCGGAGGGTCGTCGCTCGCCCCAAAGCAGATAACTTGTGTTGTGCGAGTAGAATGATAAGCGAACCTCTGGCCATGCCCCAAGCATGGACAACAATTGTACACGATTTCGTCATCCATTTATCCATCTCCTGCCCATCCCATTCCAATGCAACTCCTGTTCTGCTCCTGTTTTGCTGCTCCTCCACATTGCTCGCAACTTGTTAGTATGCAGCAATGAGTGCAATCTATCTGAATTTTCAGCTCTGCCTCTGTCTCTCCCTGAGCTGTTTGCTTAGCAAAGTGCAGTGCTTGGTGTTCCCTAATGGCATGACGATGTAATCGAATCTGGGCTCGATATTTTATGGCCTGTCTGCCATATCCTGACCTCATCTGCAGCGCTTCCTTCACACTTTGTCGCCACTCGCACACGCACACACGCATACTCGCACAGAGCGGAAAGCCAGAGCAAAGACTTCCTTCTCACAGACGTGAACGGTCTTCCGGTCTTCTTCTGATTCGTTTAGCATTCATTTCAGGCTCTCCCATTCTGGTCTGCTGTGCTGCTGTGGCTGTTCCTGTGGCTGTTTCTATGCCTGTGTTGATACGTGTACTCTTGCCCCATTCCTGAGGCATCCACTTTGAGTACGTCATTCTCGCCATCTGCTTGTGTACTGTCCGTGGGAATTGTTTATGCGGTGGCATTAATGCAGACACTCAAAGATTAAAACTTTACTTTAGAGCAAAAAAGGGCCTTTTTATTTTTAGAGAATGGGTAGTTAAGAGACTCTGGTACCGGTCCAATCTATTCCAAAGTCCACTTCCATTTATTGAGAACAAAGAGTCACTTCTGTGATCTCCCCGCATAAACTGAGCTAGCTGTGGGGTTTTTCCTGCGACTGTGGATTCCTCATTCTGAACGGAGAAGCGACTGCTCAAGGGGCAATTTGCATGCGATTTGTTGCGCGTCTCTATAAAAAGAGAATTTGCATAGACCTGCCATAATGCACTGCTCGACGAGATGTATGCTATCCCATCCTCACTCCACGCCCCTGTCTCTTTGTGTGTGTGTGTTTATCGTATTTGTTTATGCGCTTATGGCCCCGTAGTGGGACACTGGATTTCTGACTGAGATTTAGGTAAAAAGGTTAAGGAGATGCAAGTTGTGCGAGAGCCAATTTAAATGCAAAAAAGGAAGCAGAACAAAGCAGAGTCGAGTAGAGTATAAGAAAGGGGTGTTTGGCTTTGGCTTTCGCTGTGCAGCGGGGCGTATGCGTAATGTAATATATTGTGTATTATGTATAGAGAAAGAAAGTCTGTATCATGATTGTACAATTGTGTGTGTTTTTCCGTTCTCTTTTCACTTCTTCCACTTGCAGATGCAGCGCGCACAAGAGAAAGAATTTAAATCGCAAATAGAATCAATCAAAATCGTGCATATCAACCGAGAGGAAACCGACAACAAAATAAACAAAGAAAAATAAGCATAAAGCGAAACATAAACAGAAACCAGAGAACCATAATCAAAGTTCTTCGTTGCATTTAAAGGACACCAAGGATATTGATATACTTGTGTTCCTGCCTCTGCCTTCTCTCCGACTCCCCGACTCTCTGTGAGTGTGTGCGTGCTACGGGTTATTGCATGCCGCGGATGAGCCGCGGATTATGTCACGTGACGATTATAATCCAGTGAATAGCTCTGGTGTGCGCAGTCCGGGTCGCGTGCGGCGGCTCCAGGAATTGCCAACTGTCGATCGGTCACCATCACGGGATTACGGCGCCCCACGCGGAAGTCCTCTAGGTGAATGATGCTTCCTTTCCACTCTAGCGAATCCCCTAAATCCCCTACCCAAATAAACGCCCAAGGCCCAACCAAGCAACCCAAATCCCAAGCACAAATGTAGTCCAGTCCAGCACGGAATTGAACAAGCAAAATGTCTCTAAAAAACCAACAAAAAACCAAATAGCAAAAAATATACATACGAGTACATTTCGAAAAGGAAATGCACTCAACGTTTGTGCGGGAGTTTGGTGAACCGAACCGAATCGAACCGAGCTTTAATTTATTATGATTTCAATTGGTCAATTGGCATTCAAACTTATTTGAATCGTTTCATTTATGATTGATGATTGCTCTACTAACCCAAAAATCAGTTATGTATTTCACATGTTGCATGCACTTAAGGGCTAACCTAACCGAAGTAGGTGCAACATGGTCCCCATGGCTTGAACATTTATCAAAATTCATTATCCAAAATTTTCGTGTCAATTTCCTTCCGTATATCGTTTTTTTCCGTATATCGCTCGCTAGCTCTATTTCTGTACTTGTAACTGCCATACATATGTATGTATGTATGTGTATATGGTACATATATATATATATATATATATGTTTTTCATTTCGTACTATTCGTAGTCTGAACTCAACTAATGCAATTCTAACTAAAGTCTATAATTTCTGTCTTACATCACACGCATGCGCATGGTACATAAATTTGATTTGATTTGATTTTATTTTGAATTCGATTTCGTTTGTACTTCGTTTCGCTTCACTCATCTTGCAAAAACTCTAACAATTTTCATTTCAATTAACACGCACACGGACACACACAAACGAACACTCGGGTAATGGGAAATTGAATTGAATTGCATTCCGGGGAATTGGATTGGAATCCACTCAAACCGTGCAACAAGCAGCTGCAGTAGCTACCAAATTACATTAGCTTCCGGACGAGTCCGCAGAGCCAGCAGCCCACAGCCAGCAGCCCACAGCACAGCAGCAATATGGCTCACAGCTACAGCTGAGCTGAGCGGAAAAGTTGAAGGGAACCACTAAAGAAAAGCTTCACAATCTGTGTATCTTGCTGGCGGCCGCGCCTCATATCAAAGCCTCAAACTGGATTACAATTATGGTTGGTTAAACTGTTTTGTACTCCGAGTGGGTCTCCTGCACGGTATGGGGGGTGGGGTGTTGTGCTCTCACCACTCAATTAGAGGCCAGGATGCGTTTGCACTCGCAGCTAATTAGCATGCAGGATGTGCGATGGATGCATGGATGGAAATAGGAGGAAAATATGTCGAGTTGAGGTGCTGTGGCTGGTGAGGGGGTGGTGCAGGGTTACTAAAATACTAAACTATTTATGAGTGGAATATTACGTATACGTAGCCGGTATACGCTGACGAACAAGGACGTTGGAGGAGCCGCTTTGCAAATTTGACTTGGTGCTCTTCACGTGCAAAATGATTTCGTGTCGGGAAAACTAAGTTTATGCCCCCCGTTGGGGTAGTGGGGGGATGGGCGGTAAGGGGTGGCTGTTTGCAGGGGCTAAAGAACCACAGGACGCTGCCTGAAATATGAGCCAGGTTGGATTCAGGACACACAAAGCCAGCAGCAGCTACTTAGTTTGCCGAGTGTGGTGGGGGAGGGTGAGGGGAAGGGCAAAAACCAAAGCCAGAACACGACAAACAATTTCCCTTCTTTCGTTTCGTTTCGTTGACTTTTTTCTTTATTTTCGTTTCGTTTCGTTCGTTTGAGTTACCTGCGTTCCCCGCCACTAACCCAACCAGAAACCAAAATACCAAACCAAAAAAAAAAAAAGAGAAACACCGAAAATGAGGCAGAGACTCCACTGCACTACTAGTTGCCACAGTAGACAACACTTTTGAGTTGCGAGCCCGAGCCCCTGGTTCGGGTGGATGAGTGCCGGATGTGGCGGCGAGAAATACGAACACGAAACCGTATCAGAGACCCCCTCATCCACTCATTTGATCATCGTCATGAATTCTGTGTGTGTGTGAATTTCAGCAATGGGCAGTCCATACTACCGCGACATGGATGAGCCAACCAGTCCCGCCGGAGCGGGCCACCATCGCAGCCGGAGCGCCAGCAGACCACCGATGGCCCATGCCATGGACTATCCAAGTAATGCTCCCACTCCTCGTTCACCGTCCCCGTTCACGTATTAACAGCAGCCACTGCCATTTCTCTCCCACCAGGAACCCGCTACCAGTCGCTGGATCGTGGGGGCCTTGTCGATCCGCACGATCGCGAGTTCATACCCATACGCGAGCCCCGCGATCGTTCGCGGGACAGATCGCTGGAGCGGGGCCTCTACCTAGAGGACGAACTGTATGGGCGGTCGGCACGCCAGAGTCCAAGTGCCATGGGCGGCTACAATACGGGCATGGGGCCCACCTCGGACCGTGCCTATCTGGGGGATCTGCAGCACCAGAACACCGATCTGCAGCGCGAGTTGGGTAACCTCAAGCGGGAGCTGGAGCTGACCAACCAGAAGCTGGGCAGCTCGATGCACAGCATCAAGACGTTCTGGTCGCCGGAGCTGAAGAAGGAGCGGGCGCTGCGCAAGGAGGAGAGCGCCAAGTACAGTCTGATCAACGATCAGTTGAAGCTCCTTAGCACAGAGAATCAGGTGGGAATCAAACACTCCCTCCCCCTTCCCATTCCCGCATCCAGAGTGATATATGTGCAATCATTTCCGCTCTCTCTCACTCTATCACAGAAACAAGCAATGCTGGTGCGTCAGCTGGAGGAGGAGCTTCGCCTAAGGATGCGACAGCCCAACCTGGAGATGCAGCAGCAGATGGAGGCCATCTATGCGGAGAACGATCATCTGCAGCGCGAGATCAGCATATTGCGGGAGACGATCAAGGATCTGGAGTGTCGGGTGGAGACCCAGAAGCAGACTCTGATTGCCCGCGACGAGAGCATCAAGAAGCTGCTGGAAATGCTGCAGGCCAAGGGAATGGGTGAGTCTCCAGCACAAAAAACTCTGGTGGCAAGTGAATCTTTTGTCTAATTTTTGTCCCTTCGCCTAGGTAAAGAGGAGGAGCGCCAGATGTTCCAGCAGATGCAGGCCATGGCCCAGAAACAGGTAAGATTCCCACTGCTACCGCTACTACTGAGATCTTTTTCCCCATCCCTCTTCATAAAGGGACTCTCTGTGGCTCTCTTTATACCTATATATATATATACATATATCTCTCTCAATATCAATCTCAATCTCTCAATCTATATGTCTAATTTTCTTTCGTTCGGCAAACAATGCTCTAGAGAATGATTTCGTACACGGACAGTGGGAGAGGGATAGAGAGAGACAGAACAAGGAGAACTATTCTTTGGTTCTCCATCTTTCTCTCTCTCTCTGTCTCTCTCCAACTGCTCTTTCTCTCTGAACACGTAAAAACAAGAGAACACATCTTTGAATACCAACATCTTAAGTTTGAAACATTTGATGCCACACATGAGATCCGTAATGATATTTATTTGAAACCCTTTCTCAAATACACTCCACAATCCCCTCCTCATATACACACACACTCACCACACTCACACACACATATCGCTATATATATTATATATATATATATATGTACATATTTATTGTACTCGTATAACTCGTACACAAAACTAGACCAAAATGTAGACCCTAGGCTCTAGCCTGTGCACTGAAGCTTGAGTTGTTCGTAGTTTCTCCACACTCACTGTTGATTTTTAATTTCCCATTCCAATACACTGAAACAGAGACCCACCCACACACAAACACCCACACACCATACAGCTTGACATGTTTCATTCAGTTTTGCATATTTGCATATTTTGTTGCTTTCTTTTTTTTCTGCTTTTGTTCTTGCCGCTGCTGTTGTTGTCGCTTAATTAATTTGCAACTTTGTGCCGACGACGGGAATGAGGACATTGAAGGCGGCAGTCAACATCAATGAACGTCATTCAAATTAACATTAAGTGCAGTCAGTACTCACTCACTCCATCACTCACTCACTTACAGATACTCACTTACAGATACTGATATTCACAGTCAGATGCGGACTGACAGACAGCTTAGTCATTTGATAGTCCATTGTTCGCACCCTCTCGATATGGGCCAAGCAATAAAATTTCCATTTTGTTGCACACTTTTGGGCGTCCATAATGGAGATGCACCGAAATGCATTTCCCCCTCTTCATTGTTGCCGTCCATTATTTATTGCTCTCACTGTGGGAGGGGCAAGAGAGTGTAGCGGCGGGGAGTGTGGGAATGGCGGGGACAACGTGCCGCCACAAGGGAAATCAATCTAAAATGGCCTGCCACATTATGTCTGGAGTTGCAGCAACTGCAGTTGGCCCTTTACTTTTAGCCAGCTGACTTCCCCAAGGACGAAACGAACAACCAACTGCTTATTACCACCAAGCAGAACCCTACCCTCCAGTCGCCCATTCCTTCGTCTGTAATTACATGTTTGCCCTAAGCTTATTCCACACACACACACACACACACATAATCGTGTGGAGAACCCGCTGCGTATACGTAATATCCAGCTGAAACAGAACAAAAGGCAGCGAAGCAACACACCCAGAAAACAAAAGGAAAGAGAGACCATGTTCAGCCTGATGCTGATGGTCAGCCACATGGGAATATTCCCATCGGAATATCGGACAGCATAAATAACCTTGATACAGCAGCAAAAATCTATTTAGGGACAACGCACTCGTCCCTTCAGAACAGGACCTAGGGTGCCTAGCCACTGGCCATAAGTTGTGGGGAAAATATCACTGAATAGCACTGTCAACGGTTCTGTTTCCCAATCGATTAAAATGGGAATGGTAGGATGCATAGCTTGGATTTTAATATAAAAAGGAAAGGAAAGTGCACATCTGAATGTCTGAATATATGTATGTATATATAATGTCAAATATACACCTACATACTACTCCTCTAAGGAGAAGTAATAGTAATTTGTCCTATGGGTTCTGCACAATAAGGGTTCTGTATTCAGATGCCGAATTTTTTGGCAGCCTACCAATTTGACAATTCCAGGACACGCATTTTAGTTCGGCGTAAAGCCTTGTTTATTTTCCTCCCTCTCAACCCACTGGCAGTTTACAGGGGTGGGAGTGATGGGAGGTCTGTATTATATTAAAACACAAAGCAATTGAAAGGAAGAGCCACAGCAACAACTGTGTAGGCCGGCAATTGGTGAGGCTCGAAATTAATTTGTCACTGTTAAAGCAAACAAATCGAGCAATGAAATTGGGAGGAGCTGCGAAGAGTGTGTGGCAGTTACAGCAGTAATTAAAACCCATTCCACAAGACCAAACCGAACTGCAAAAAAAACACACACAAAAAGAAAAGAGAAAGCATCGCTTTTGGCAGGGCCTGAGCAATTAAGAGTTGTTGCGTATACGCCGCGTTGGTAGGCACAAAAAAGCTAGCAATCGCTGCACTTCCAGCAGAATTCGTGCCCAGAGGCAGTGGCGGAAGCGTGTGTGTATGTGTATGTGTATGTGTGTGTATTTGTGGCAGGGTTCGAGGGTTCTTTCGAGGTCAGTGCGTTTTATATATCCTATTTATTGCTGCTGCAGTCTGCCAGCCTACCATACTTCCCTCTGCCTCTCAGACACTGCCGCCTTAAATGCCATCTCCTCTGCTCTATGATCTGGTTAAAAAAGAGCACCAACTCTCCATAATTTATCTTGTGCAGCAGTTGAAGCAAGTTGAGCCGCATTGAATCTCGAGTATCTGAACAGCAGATTGCCTGCCCCGTTGCTCTTTGTTCCCTCATGCTTGGCCTAACTTTTCGCACTCTTATATAATCCAGCGCTAGACCCTCACAGCACACGCATCATCATGTACATATCTCCACAGATATATATTTATATATGTAGTATATATATACATGTACTGTAGGATACTTTTTTACGAGCCTTTTCTTGGTTTTATTGTCCGCTTCTTATGGCCATTTAACCGACGCCACTTTGTCTGCCCGATGCTCTCAACTTTCGGCTTACATTTGCCCTCTATCTCGAACACAGAACACACAACACTCTTACACACACCACACAGAACACACACATAGTACATATATACGCGTATGTATAATGTAGACAAAATCTAACAAACTTATGCGATACTCAACCATCTCTCACTTCTGGTGAAACCAACATCGAAACAGCTTGATTTGGAGCGTGAAATCAAGAAATACGCTCAGGAGGAGCAGGGGGTCAGGGTGAGTGTGTGAGCCTAAGCCACGTTGAGCTAGAGAAAAACGAACGATACCCCAGCCAGTACAACAAAAAAATGAAACAAAAAATAAAACACTCAGTCGACCCCAAAGTCGTAGACCTGCTAGGATTCAACGTACCATGCCGTACCCTACCCCTACCTTACCCTTTCCTTTCGCCTCAGCCAACTGCTGATGACCGATGCTTAGGCTGCTACTCAGTATGCCAGACCACACAAATCCATATTCAAATATTCATGTTGTTTAGCTCGCCTCGCCTCGCCCTCGCTTGCTCCCCTTGCATCACCCAGCCCCCCCTCACCAACCCTTTCATTCATCCCTCTCAGGCAAATTAGAAACTATGCAAAACGATGCCAATGGCAGAATTTTAATTAGCAGTCTAAGGCAAAGGATAATGCTGCGCAAAGGAGAAGGTTTTACGAGGATTGGCACATGCCCAGACAGGAGCGGACTACAGTGTCTTGGGGTTGGGGTTTTTACCTTTAGAGTAAAGAGAGTTCCAAAATGTAGGACATCGCATTAAATTTGCCATTCGTCTCGCTGCAATTGTGACAAATTATCCTCTGACAGGGTACCACGAAGCCCACACGACGCCTTCGTATATGTAGTGGGTCCAAGTCCAACCAGCCAGCCAGCCAGCCAGCCAGCCAGCCCTGTGTCCTGTGCACACGCATAAATAATAATGGAAATGGCGTGTCTCGTTCTGAGCCACCCTCAACTCCTGATATATTATGCTGTTGGCTGGCGGCGTGGGTGTTGTTAGAGCTCTTCGCTTTACGGGGGCATATAAAATAATTACACGGCCCACCGCAAAATTCATTTTTAGAGAACAAAAGCAAAACTAGGCCCAAAGGGCTGGCTGATGGGCCAGGACGGTGTCAGAGTGCAGAAAATTAAATGAAAACAATTAAAGAGACTATGGCCAGTGGGAATGAGTGCTAAGGTGCAGTTCTGTCCGTTGCAATTTGAGTTTTTAATTCGATTTATCGATTTCCTTTCCGAATGGAATTCAATTTGAAATGGCATCCGAGAAAATGACTATCTAATGAGCTGGTCCTGCCATCGGCCATGGAATGCGGACTCCACTTAGCATAATAATGGAATGGAGGCTGATTAAATATGCAGAGCGTTGCCTACTTTTCCGGGCGTCCCGCCTGGCTCCCTGCTCGACCGGAATGCGATTCTGCGAGCTAATCCAATAGGAGAAGGAGAAGCAGGCCGCCTGCCTGCTTCCGCTGGCCGAGTCAGCTGCTCGAGAAATGCACCCCCGTCATGCGCAACCCCCCGCTGCGCTCATCAAACGCAAGGATGGCAATGCCAACTGCAGCAGAAGCAGCAGAAGCGGAAGCAGCAGCAGAAGCACTAAGCAGAAAGCTGTGACAGAAGCTGCATTGACAGGAGTGCTACAGCAAGAGAGAGAGAGAGAGAGAGCCAACGCGTAGGCTGTAAAATTCCTTGGCACAAGCGAGAACAAAACGAGTTCTCTCCCCAGTCACCCAACCTGCCTCCCACAGTAGCAGCAGCAGCAGCAGCAGCAGCAGCAATCAATAACATCAGCAAGGAGACGCTGAGCTTTCCAGCGTGCTAGTAAATGAGCGTAAAAGCTTTCGGCTGACTTGTAAAGCTTGCGCCAGCACAGCCACAGCACAGCCACAGCACAGCACAGCAGAGACCACATGACAGTGTTTTTGAGCTAAACCGAAGCTGAGTCGAGGATTTTTCGCTCAATGGCCTCGTGGTAGCAAAAGCTCCGCAGGCGCGAACAGTTGAATACGCAACGTTCTAGCTGAGGCACGAGGCACGGAAGAGCCAGAGTCGCACCGACCAGCAGCGCGACGCGAACGCAGAGAAGTGTGGCACAGGCAAATGGCAAATGGCAAACGGCAAAAGGCCAAAAAGTGCACAGTGGGCAGCCAGCCAAAGCCAAGTGAATTAGGATTGTGCCTATGAAAAAATATATATGATATAAAGCAGAGAAACTGCTCCAATTTCCCCAAATAAAAAGAAAGTAGTGGGAGAAGACGTGGCGCGAACGCGAGTGCTACAAAAGTCGAAAAGTCCCCGCGAAGGATGTAGAAAAAAGCCAAAAGAAATTCGAGCATTTCATTCTTGTGCCTTTACCTGTAAATGTTTGTGTCTATTTCGCACGACACTTCTCTCTCCCCCCTCTCAGTGTGAGGAAACATAATAAATAACGCTTCGATTTTAGTGCAACTGCAACTTTTTAATCACATCCCAGCAGCAGAAACAGCAGCAGCAGCATCAGTTAGCAGCAGCATAAAATCAATAATTTTTGCTTAAGCAGCCGCAGCAGCCCAAAAAAAAAAAGTCTCTCCCGACAGCACCAGCAGCAGCAGCAGCAGCAGGAGTAGCGGGGAGCAAACATTAACTTGCAACAACAACAACAACAAAGACAACGAAATCGGGGAACCACAGAAACAACAATTTCTTTTTATAGCAACCCCCAACCGCCGCCATCAAGTCTCTCTCTCTCTCAGCGTCTACGACGACGGACTCCCGTCTCCTACGTCTTTCTTCGACCCCTTGTTCTTATTATCCCACAGCTGGCTCTGTGTGTGTATATATGTATGTATGCGTGTGTGTGTGTGTGTGTGAGTGATGGGCCAGAAGGTTACAGTTACAGCTAGAGCTACCGTTACACTAAGCAGGCAACGCTAAGAATCAGGAAGCGCCAAGATAATAGAGGGGTGGGAGCCCTACGGCCCTTCCCACGCCGCCCATCACACTCAGTAACGAGGAAGTGCCCGACCAACCAGCGGTTTATTATTATATTACAATAAGACAAACCACACACACACACACATAGGGATACAATACCCCACACACACACGTGTATGCATGTATGTATAAACGCGTATAAGTAGTAAATGCAGCAGCGCCCCGCACTCAGACACCTGCGCACAACTTGAGGCCAACTCAAATTACATAAATAGCCCAACTGCAACAACTGCAGTTGCAGTGGCAGTGGCAGGCAACAACCAAAAGCCAGCACTAAGTCCAAGTACAACGAACTGCAATTGCTATTCATTTGCATAGCATACGAATACATCAGGAGGAACCAACAGCAGCAACAGCAACAACCACAACAACAACGAGAACTACATACAGCATTTGCTTTTAAAAAAAACCCAGCGAGACAGACTCCCACGTAGTCGCACCACAAACCTATGGACAATGCCTATGTATACTATAAGGTACTGTAGTTCATCAGCGAACACTCGCACGCCTCCAAACAGCAACTGAAACGAACCCCAAAATCAGCAATCAACTACTCAGCAACAACCATCACGTCATCGTCATTAAATCATCATCATCATGAAAACACAGCTACAATCGCAGCTCCATTTAAAAGTCGAAAGGTCGAATGAACAAAAGGCTAAAACTCGAAATAACAAAAACCAACGAAATGCAACCAACAAAATGTTTTTGGGGGTGTGTGGGTTGATCGAATCGGTTGGGGTAGGGTATGATAGGGTGTGGATAGGATAGACATGTAAATCAAGTCGACAATCGACGCACCAATGAACCCTGAGACCACCACCCCACCTAAGACCCATTTGAATATCCTGCACAGTCCTAACATAAGCAAAATGACAGAGGAAACAGAGAGAAAGAGAGAGTGAGAGAGAGGGAAAGCATTTCAGCACCATCACGCAAAAACAAATAAAACTGTAAACTTTCTTCTGTTTTCTCTGTCTTTTGTGGCCTCGAGCGGCAAATTAAATTCCGCACACACTCACACCGCCAATACATACACTCGCCAACACAAACACATAACCACGCAAACACAACTGACATTTGGCAGCGAAGCGCATTGCCTTCTTTTCTGCGTAATTAGTGAAATTCGGCAACAGGGCGAACTTATAGGGAGTGCGAGAGAGAGGCGGGGAGAGGTATCACCACCGACAGCAAGTGCAGACAGGCGCACACACGAACCCGAACACCAACGAACAGCAGACCCCCATTGAAACCCACGCCCCTGCAATAGAACCCTTTTCATCTGCTCATTAGCAGAAGAGCCTACCGAAATTCATAAAGAGTGAAATGAGGGCCAGGGACAGGGACAGGGGACAGGACAGCATGGGACAGAACAGGACGGTGCGGGACAGGGATGCACTTCATAAATGTCACTTGAAATACATTTCCATCAGGGGCACGTGCGTGAAGCACAAAAAAAAAGATGGGACAATGACAGCTACCGAGCAGACGACTGACAGGAGACAATAGGGAAAAGGACTCGACTCGACTCGGACTAGGACTGGGACTAGGACTATGAGTCGTCCTCGTCTCCGTCGTCTGGCCTTGCACACGCTCGCACGAGAGAAACGTGATGATTTGTCATGATTACTGGGCGGGAATGGGTGCAGATGCAGATGCTCATCCCAGTCTCATCGCCTGCTTTGTTTGTGCTCTGTCATGTTTTCACATGTCAATGTCGAGCGGGGACACAGTATCTGCCCCGCCCTCCACAGTCCTACAGCTCTCACTGTCTCTTTACCGTGCAGACAGTCATTAAACTGAAAATTGTTCTTCTTTTCTTTTTTAAGAGCTTTTGCTGTGCGTTGCCTTTGCTTCGTTTTGCAATATCCATTTTATGTGTTTATTTTAAAATTTTTATGATTTTCGCTGGGCACGCAACAACATAAAAATAGCCCCAGAGCCAACAGAGCCACCAGAGCCAACAGAGCCAACAGAGCCACCAGAGCCAGCAGAGCCGAAGGAAGGCAGTAACTACCACTCTGTTACATGTATTTTCCCCACTTAACACACTTACACATACATTCTCAGCTTTTGGCTTTTGCTTTTGCCTCTTACTTGTGTTTTGTTGTTGTTGCCTCTTCTCTTATAGTCTCACTCGCTCTTTCACTCTCTATTTTTTTTCCTCCAGTTGCCACTATTGTAGTCTCTATTCAAGCACACACAAACACACACACACACATGACATACACATACGTAACCTTGTAACCAAAATACTGTTATTTCGGTCCGCAATTTCGAAGTGTATGTGCTTGTGTTTGTGAGTGTGGGTGTGGATGTGGATGTGGGTGGGTGAGCCAAAGTTCTTGGCATTATTTTAAGTGTGTTGCTCACCTGCGCCAGCTCTCTCTCTCTCTCGACTTGGCATTATTTTCCCAATTTGTATTTAAATATCTTGGCTTTTCCTTTGATATTGTATACACATACTAAATGTATTAACAATGCGTTTGCCTCTAAGTAGTTTTTCGTAAACGTACCTCCCCATTTAATAGCTGAACCCTACATATGTATGTATGTATATGTATCTCCCCTAGTTGCGATCACATTTTTAAGTTCAGTTCCGCTTAAATATTTTCAATTGTTATTTTTAAATCACTCCACTACACACACTCCCACTCAAACAAATGCCCAAACACTCACACACACACACACACAATGTTTGTTCTGCGTTAAACTTAGCATTTTGAACGGTACGCTGTTTTTTGAATTCCTCTTTCTTACTGTTTTTACATAATCAAAAAGTAATATATAACATTTAACCAAAAAAACCAACACCAACAAAGAGCAAATCAAAGATGAAACAAATAAAAAAGAAAATAGAAAGAATATGAACATCCATGCAATGCAGAAACAATCAGATAATAATTAACAAACCATTAGTGAATTGTGATCCTATTTAGCATACAAGAATAATTCTTTTGTCATTTTATTGCCAAAAGATGCTGATGATTTTTTCACGAAACTTATCGATTGTAATGGCTCCAATAATTGGCACTTTTATCGAAGAAAATGAACTAAACAAAAAAAATACAAACACTTTCAAACGTCACAAAAAAAAAAGGATTAATCCTGAACCAAAAATAAAACCAAATCAAAAACTCAATTAATAAATGCAAAATATATTTGTTTTCAGAATTGATCATTTTTAATTACATTTAAAAACATATATTTTGTTGTTGTTCTAAAAGCAATCACCAAAAAAAAAAAAAAGGAAAGAGTAGAGAAGAAACGCAATAGCAAAACATAAAAAAAAAAGAATTTGTTTACCAAGAATTAAAACAAAAAACGTATGCAACTATTTACAATATGCTTTTGTAATATTTTCGCACTGAAACCAAATCAACAAAAAAAAAAAAATATATCAACATAAAATCAATATAAAAAGTAATAACAAATCGAGAAGAGGAAGAGTAAAACGGGCAAGAAGAAGAAGAAGAAGGCGATGAAAGGAAAATCGATCGATTCCAAGGCGATTCCAAAGCGAAAGCGAAAGCCAAAGCAAGACTTTCATTTACTGACAACTCTTTGACGATAAAATGATAAAACAATTACGACGTGTATATACCATACATATATATATCCACAATATACTCCTCCAGCCTCTATTTCTATCTATCTCTCTCTTTCTCTCTCTCTGTCTCTGTCTGTCCCCACTCTGTCTCTGTCTCTACCACTCTCTGTCGCTCTTTGTACATACTTATATATATATGTTGCATATATTACTAGCAAGTATGTCCTTTTTGATATATATATATATACATATATATATGTACATGCATATATATACATATTGCGTTACTCTGCTTACCAGAGTCTCTCTGCTTCGACAGACCGAGACGCAGCTCCTGAGCTTCCAAGAGCATCCCAAGCCCCCCCCACCAAAAGCCCTGCCCAAACAGAAAATCTTGTACGGAAGGAAGCCTGTTGCCGTGTCGTTGCACCCCACACTAACACATGCATATAGATATAGATATGTTTATGTACATGTGTATCCGTATGTATATGTATATGTGTGTGGTATATGTGTTTGTGTATGATATATTACTTTTTGATTTTTGTAAATATCGAAAAATATCTATAAAAGAAATGTTGACCGGAACCACTCGAACCCGTTCCAACCGAATCTAACAGATCTCACACACACACAAACACACAACGTAACGCAACACTTCTCCAAGATGGCATTCTAACAGCACACACACACACACACACACCTCCAAGCCCTTCTCACATATACACAAACACTGATAATACACACACACAAACACAAACAAACACAATTTGTATTTCAATTGAAAGGAAAGTGAAATGAAACGAAATGAAATGAAGAGAAAGAAACCACAAAAGAAGATACTCTGCTCTGTCTGTCACATTAACTTGCGCTCTGTCTTTCTCTTTCTAAGTCTATGTAATAAAACTCTAACTGTCTATGTCACACCACACACTCTCTCGCTCTCTCTGTCTCTCTATCTCTCTATCTCTACATATCTCTATCCCTCTCACTGTCTGTCTAAACAAGTACTACTACTACTACTACTACTACTCCTCCTACTACTACTATATGAATAAAATATTTTGTTTGTTTTCTACAACCGAACACCGAAACAAAAACAAATACAAATACAAATACTACAAAAAACCAACAACAACAACCAAATCAATTATTTAACAAATATACTTTTGCACGTTATTTCTATAATGCATCTGAACTATATATTGTTATACGTAAATTTATGTTTCTTTTCTGCGTACAAACAAAATACCGAAAGAAAAATACATACATACATGCCCCATACATGTAAACCAAACAATAAAAAACCCTCCCCTTTCCCCAGAAATATACTAAATCGAATATTGAAAGTTGAGAAGAATTCTAACTAATACGAAATCAGAATCCGAGTTGCATTTGTATGCCACGTTGATCATACGAGTCGACAATAAAGAAATATATAGAGAAGCATCGACACGCACACAAACAAAAACACATACAGGGACACACACAAACACACCTACACTTACTGCAATCCACACATAAATAGCTACGAAAAGAACACACACAAAAACAAAAAGAAGAAAAAAACAGCCTGCGACAGCCTCGTGCCTGTCAAGCGAGTGACACACATTTCATGTTGCGCCTCTACCACGACCCACACACACTACCCCCCCGCCCAACCGAAACACTTCACACACATACACAAACACACGGACATCACACACAACACAACACCACACACCCGGCCCCGCCCTTGTTGAACCTTTTTTGGGTGCTAACAAGAGCCCGTTGAAAGCGGCTCAGAACTAACTATAACTATATAACCATAAACGAAAACGAAAACCGAAAGATAACCCAAATGGAAGAGAACTAGAAACCAGAAACCAAAAACCAGATACCAGATACCAGATACAGAAACCAGAACCGAATTCACAATCCATCAATCATTGATCAAAAATCTCATTCTATTACAAAACCCTATTGTAAATTAAGCGCAGAAAGTGTAAAACCAATAAGAAAGCAGACAAAAACTTGCAGAAAAACAACAAAAATAATAATAATAATAATAATTAATAATAATTAATGATTAAACAACAAAAGAAAAGAAACGAAAAACCGAACCAAAAATTAATCAAACAAACGTTCAAATATGGGGCCAAGATAGTCCGTAAGTGTTCGGGCTAAGATCGCTTTGGTTATGTTAAATGTAATCCTATTCAATGATATACATACATATAGATATAAACTCCTACAATACATATATACGTATATATATATATATCTAGCTAATGTTTGTTAACCATGATCATGATCCACACAAAACCAAAAACCAAAAAAAAAAACGCGAGCCGTGAGAGATACGATCTCAGATACAGATAAAGATACAGCAACGAATACGGCTGAAATGAGCAATGCTAATGCTAAAATACACCAAACGAAACTACTATAACCCAACTATAACAGTCCCAGAGAGATCTGGGGACCGAACACAGCTACAAACAACAGAAACAACAACAACAACGTTTCAGTTACAGTTACAGTTACAGCAACAAACATTTGAAATCGCCCATTTCAGATGTACAATAACTACACGGGCGTCAGCGGATGCAGCCCCCCACTGCCAGACATTATCGGACAATATTACGGACCGCCTGCACACGCATACGGCCCTGGCCCTGGAAACGGCTATGGTAACGCGTACGATCTGTACGGACCCTCCACATCGTCGGGAGGATATTTATATGATCCGGGCGCAGCTGCTGCTGCAGCCGCCGCTGCCCAGATCTACGGCCAGAGCCAGACCTCGCCCATACGCCGGAGGCGGTACAGCATCGCCGGACTGCCCTCGGCCACCATGTATAACGACGTGTACGGCTACCCAGCACCGCCACAGCACCAGACAAGCTCCTCGAACATCGTCAACCTGCTGAACGAGGCCCACAAGTCGATATCGCGCTCCTCCCAGATACTCAATCTCACGAACCAGGCGCGCCAGTTGGGCCAACTGGTGACCACTCCCCTTGGGGTTTGTGGCGGCCGGGTAGTTTCCAGCTACCCCACCCTGCACCCTGGCGATACCTCGCCACCGTACCTCAACGACAACCTGATGCAAATGTCCACGAGCTTCTCCTCCCAACCGAACATGTATTTCCAGCCGCAGCCACAGCAGGCGCCGCTACCCACGCAGCTGACGGCTGCCCAGAGCGCCGCTGCAGCGGCTGCGCGCCTGAGGCCCGCGTACTCCGTCACCAACCTGGTGTCGGGGTATCCGGGCTCTGCGGGCCTGGGCATGGGGATGGGAATGGGAGTGGGAGTGGGGGGAGGCTGCAAGTATGGAATGACGGGCTACGCGAATCCCTATCAGAGTGAGATGCAATCCGGCTACGGAGGACTGGGCCTGGGACTGGGCCTGGGGCCGTTCCAGCAGCGGCAGCTCATGTCACACTCCCTGCACGCCTCCAACCCCGCCATCTCACAGTACTATCAGCAGCAGCATCAGCCGTCGGCCAGCTCTGCCGCGGCCCTGGCCTACAATCTGCAGCAGCAGTTCGCCGGAAGCCATCATTACGGGAGCGGGGGCCAACCGCCGCTGGGACACTCGCACATCCAGGCCTCGGTGCAGCAGCAGATGCATCCGCAGTACCAGTACCACGTGCACCAGCACCAGAACCACCTGCAGACCCACCCCCTGGCGTCGCTGGCCAATACGAGTGGACCGTTCGGAGGGACTCTGGCCAGCAGTGCCAGGGACGCGGTCACCGGAGCCGCCTACGATGGACTGCATCACTCGCATCCGCATCACTCGCATTCGCATCTGCATCCGCACTCGCATCACTCCTCGCATAACCATCACTCGGCATATCCGCACTCGCTATCGCACCATCAGCAGCAGCCGCATCAACAGCATCATCACCACCATCTGCCATACTCAAAACTAGACTTAGATTATCCGAAACTGCCGCAAGAGCATAAGCGACAAGTAAGTTTTAAATTTGACACAGATACGCTATCCCTAGACTCCTAAGCGACCCCGAATGTCCGAAACTGAAACCAAATTCGAGTTCCAATTCGAAATTACCCCCCAAAAAAAACCCCAAAATGAAGCATCAAAATTCGACTCAATCATCATCATCATCGACATCCACATCCACCCGAGCATCCAATAATAATAATAATAACAATCAGAAAACGCATCGAAGGCAAAGAAAAACCGAAACTAATTGGAAGGAGCATCTATCTATATACGTATTACGTACGTGTGTATATGGGCTTATATAGATAGCGCCCCAAACTGCATTTAACGCTTTCCTCTACATTACGTACTCTCCAGTAAACCATCTGGTAAACCATCTGTAGTGAACGGTTCCCGAGTGGGGAGAAGAAAGAAAACACCAAAGTATTATACATACAATACCTATATAAATATACACCATACCCTATAAAATATACAATATACAATTATGATAATAATTCGGAATATTCTTAGTAGAATTATAGGCTAAGAAGCTAAGGGAAGGGAAGCTACGGATAACTATTGTTTCATGTGCCATTTTAATGTAGAAACAAAGGAGAATGAAACTTACATTTAAAATTACTTTCTACATATTAAAAAATCGCAATTCTGATTTGGGTTATTTGCATAGAGCACTCAGGGCAAAACTTTTCAGAAAAGAGTAATACGATGAGGATTTTTTTTTTTTTTTGTTATTTCTGGAAAATTGTAGAACCTTGCTCTTGACTCTCAAAGGTAAAAAAGACTGTATATAAAACGAAATGAGATTTACTCGCAAATAAACAACAATTTAAATATACAAACAAACAAATAAAAAGAGAATGAAAATGAAAATGAAGCAACATGAAATTTACTTTAAACTTGTGAAAGTTGCAAATTTTGCGCGAGCTAACGAAAATAAATATTTAAACATTATTAAATCAAAACCTATAGAGTAACTCGTACTTAGTATGGAAATTCAAGAACTTAGAAAATTGTTAGTGCGATACCGACACACACACATACACACACAGACACACACTCGAACTATCTATAAGAAAGTAATCGTAAAGTAAACCCAAAGAAACGAAACGAAACCTTGCCTGGTTCTAGTTCTAGTTCTAGCAATCCCAGCCAGGCAGGCATGGGCAAGTACCTCCTATACCCAACCTACTAACTACCTATAACCAGAAACTATAACCTTACACTAAACTTCCTCTCTATCTTAATAGATATGTAAATTGTTTAACTTAACAGATCTTTCTACCGCTTCCTCTTGCTACTCCTTAGTTCTGACTTCCTAATGCCTTCCCCAGCAAAAGCAGAAACAGCAAAAGTTATAGACGAACGTACGAACGAAAGAACGAACTAGTGTGTGATTAGCAATGAAGGTCAATTATGTGTATAAAGATACAAATTTATATGTATGTGAAATCTATGTAGATCGATTCCGATTCGGATTCCGGTTCGGAATTAGTTTTTTGTCTGTCCGAGACAGCAACAGCTACAGCTACAGCAAAAGCAAAAGTGAAACGGAGAAGCATTCAAAATGTGTCTATGCAAATATTATATTGTATTATTAATACATACATACATACTCGTATATGTACTTGATCTCTACTAGTGTTGGTATTTCGTATTCGAAGAATCGCTTTTTGATACCCTCATCTAATCTATCGATTTTTAGTATCATTGTTAGGATGCTTTTCCCCCCATTTGATTTTTTCGTTTTTCTTTGCTGGCTTTCAAAATCGAAAATTTATACCTAGAAATTTCTCAAAGAAAGTAAAAATTCTTGTTAAAGTAGTGGTTAAATTATACATACATATACATATATATACATATGTATGTGTGTATATACAGAGACACAAAAACAAAATAAAAAATTTGGATTTATTTTTCCTAGTTGTATTCGTAGTTGTAGTTCCAGTCAATGCCCCTAAAAGTATGCAGCCAAGAAAAATCAGAAATGAAAAAACAGAAACAGAAGCAGAAGCAGAAGCAGAAATTGTGTTCATAGATAAAGGCTTTACATACGAGTATATTTATATGTATAACTGAATGATGATAAAAGCTTATCACTAGCCAATGCGGATGAAGAAAGCCATTTCTGTGCGTATAGATAAATAGCTACATAGAAAGATACTGTTACTATCCATTAGAAGATACTTACTATTTATTCTGTTCTCGTGACCTAACCAAACTCGATTGATTCTCTTCTTCGATTAAGTTTGTGATTTGTAACCTCTTTTTTTTCTATCTACAAAGACGACGAACAACCAAAAAACGAGGCATTTGAATATTGATATATATACATACAATATATATATATATATATACATATACAACAATCTATACATAACTCTATATACTTATACTGTATTTGAATAATTATGGTTAATATATTCTGATTAAACGCATATACATTTACGATATGATATGATCCAACGAGACGTACATACTATTTATACAATGATTTAACTGTAAACCTAATTAAGATTGCATTCAGACTTAATTCAACAAGCAAATATTCTCAAAATCTGTTAAACTTAAACTACATTTTAAGCATTATAAAATGGAAACTTTTCGAAAAGCAAACAATAAAATTACATACGAAAATCGAACGTCGAATGTCGGTTATCGAATATCGATGAACGAAGAAATACTAATGAAAATAGTAGTTCAGGAGTGACCACCACACCACCCAACCGCCCCATATCTATCGACCTTTCTCTCATCCCCTACAACCCATTAACCACCCACACACACACACACACACACACTCACACTGATACACACACACACTCGAACTCAGACCTAGAACGGGGGCCAGGAGACCAGCCAGACACACACTCGAAAGTCCACTCTCCACATTATCCACAATGCGTAGGCTTGAACCACGTTACGCTCCATCCCTACGTTCACCCACACTGAATTGCAACAATAACAACAACCACACCACAAGAACAACAACAAGAACAACAACTTTCAGACCAGAACAGGAACACAGAACATAGAACATAAAACAACAACCATCACGTATTTGTAGTCCTGGCTAAGGATCGACCATCCCCAGCCGAGGCACTGAGTGTTACAACAATTTCTGATCTTATATTATCTGTGTACTTTGTCCATTCCATTCCGACCTCCCTCCAACCTGCCTGACAATTTGAAACAAAACCCCAACCCGATCCACAGTTGGACGAATTTCGTCTTGAAATACAAAGAAGGGATCAAGAGATCCTGGCGATGGCGGCCAAAATGAAAACACTGGAGGAGCAGCATCAGGTAAATGAACGCTCGAAGAGGGCCCTCAATCCAGAAAATTGTCGTTTGCACAGTAAAGTAATTCCCGCTAGGACTATCAGCGGCACATAGCGGTGCTCAAGGAGTCGCTATGTGCCAAAGAGGAGCACTACAACATGCTGCATTCGGATGTGGAGGAGATGCGGGCCCGCCTCGAGGAGAAGAATCGCCTGATCGAGAAGAAGACCCAGGGCACCCTGCAGACGGTGCAGGAGCGCAACCGCCTGACCAGCGAGCTGACCGAACTCAAGGATCACATGGACATCAAGGACCGCAAGATCAGTGTGCTGCAGCGCAAGGTTAGGTCGCCCCCATTTAGCCTCCCCAGCACCCCTTAGAACCGAACCCACCTTCAATACGATCCCGCTCCACTCTAATTAACAGATCGAGAACCTGGAGGATCTGCTCAAGGAGAAGGACAACCAGGTGGACATGGCCCGGGCCCGTCTCTCGGCCATGCAGGCCCACCACAGCAGCTCCGAAGGTGCCCTGACCAGCCTCGAGGAAGCCATCGGCGACAAGGAGAAGCAGATGGCCCAGCTGCGCGATCAGCGTGATCGGGCCGAGCACGAGAAGCAGGAGGAACGGGATCTGCACGAGCGTGAGGTGGCCGACTACAAAATCAAGTTGCGCGCCGCCGAGAGCGACGTGGAGAAGCTGCAGACCCGCCTGGAACGGGCCGTCAACGAGCGGGAGAGGCTCGAGATCAAGCTGGAGGCTTCCCAGAGCGAGCTGGGCAAGTCGAAGGCGGAACTCGAGAAGGCCACCTGCGAGATGGGACGAAGCAGCGCCGACTGGGAGTCCACCAAGCAGCGGATCGCCCGCCTCGAACTAGAGAACGAGCGGCTGAAACACGATCTGGAGCGTTCCCAGGTACTCGTGCATTATTGCCAGTTCCCCACGAATATTTAATACCCCCCAAAAAACCAAACCAAACCTATCTTTGTATCTGTATGTGTGTGCTTTGTATATATAATCTAAAGACATGCATAGATAATATCGATAATCAACTATACTATCTACCCATATGTATCTACATATACATGTGTACCCACATCAATATCTACATCAATATCTATATCTATATATCTATCTATATCTGAATATGTATTTACATGTACACGTAACGCATCCCCAACTACCCCAACTACTACAACAAACTACAACTACAACCAACTTAAAACTCACCCAACATAAACCAAATATAGCTGCAGCTAGAAGAACAGACCACACTACACAAAGTAAGATTTAAACGCCAAAATTCCATCTTCCAATTAGCCATAGACTGCATAATATCGTAATTCGTAATTCGTATATCGTATCTGCTCATACCGTTAAGCAGTTCAATAAGCACAACATAATTTTGTATATAACATGCCTAGTGATTACGAACGTTCTGTTATCGAATACCGTGGACTTGAATATCATTATTTTTTGTTTTTATTAATATCATAAATGCGAATATCGTAACTTTAAAACGAGCAAAATCGAATAGCGTAATTATTAATTTACTTATTGCGAATATCGTAATACTGAATATCGTAAAACAGACAATCGAATTTCGAAATAAGTACAGTAAATTTGTAATTATATTTAATTTTGTACCGTGAATACCGTATTTACCGAAATGTGGGCGCTTCGTATATCGTATACGTATATCGCTATTATGCACACTGCAACACCACACATCGCATCTCCTTAACCGTATATCGTATCCACGTATCACGTAACCGACACTCGCGTTGCTCGTAGCAACTTTTGTTTATTTCCCCTTAGTTTTCCTTCGGTTCTTGCACTTAGTGCCAGCAGGCGCAGGCTGACGTTCTCCTTAGTCTTAGTCCCCACCAAAACCCAGATCCGATAAACACCTGACATATTGCACTCTTTTAGATGCTTAGACAGGATTAACCGCACCTTCAGCGTAGCCTCAGTTAGCCTCTGTGTCTGTGCCCATAGCACCCGCCATCCATCGACACCCATCTCGCCTAGTTAGGTTTTGATTTAATCGGTGTGCAGACAAATGAGAGTGTTCCCTGAAAGGGTAAAAATGTTGAATGGCTGCTAAACATGCATAAATATGCATACATACATATATGTATTGTAAGTGCAAACCTATTAAGTCATAAGTATATAAACATTTGTTCGTATCGTACTCTTGCAGAATGTACAAAAGTTAATGTTCGAAACGGGCAAGATATCGGTAAGTCGGCCAAGCTGACCCAGGCTAGCCACAGACTTAGACCCACAGTATGCCATGAAAACTCTTATATCGCATAGAGAACCAAGCGTCAAATGCACACCCAAAGCACACCAAAAGACCAATCAGGAAATACATATGTACATATGCATAGACTATGTACGAGTAGCAGCAAATCCAAAAACCAAAATCCAAAATGCAACAATTATCTCATTGAATCATTCACCATTCACAGCAGCCTCATGGATCGGGTCCATGTCCTCCGTTCTTACGACAGCTAGCCTGCTGGACTCATCCACTATACAAACCATGCATTCTCACCACATCTATGTACATACATAAATATGTATATACTATATTTAATCACATTTGCTAATGCCTTTAAATATGCTTTTGATCGTTGTTTGCACTTGTTACCCCAGCGACTCCGCTCCGGTTGAAATATACTAATTTAAATGTTTCGCGTCTCGTCCAGACATCATTTGGCAGGACAACGATGACCACGTCCCAGGAGCTGGATCGGGCCACAGAGCGAGCCGACAAAGCGGCCGCCGAGCTGCGACGCACCCAAGCCGAGCTGAGAGTCACACAGGTATGGTCCACATAATCGTATTAACTGTATTACGTACATGTTCTATAGTGACAGCCATATGCATAACCGAATGCTCTTTTAGCTAGTCTTACATATTTATATTCGATATATAATTTACATATGAATCGAACTCAGAAACAAATACAAACGCATTGCAATCGAAACTTTCACATGCAACTACTACTATATATGTGTATATATGTACTATTTCTGTGTGCGTGTGCTCTGTTAATGGACTCGTGAAACTCTTGAACAAGCGATGAGGAGAGACCTCACCCCCCACACACACACACACAAACCACAACACAAACACCAAACTCCAGAAGGAACTCCAACTGCCTCTCTATCTATATGCTCTGTCTATCACACCTTCGCTGCATTTGGTGACCCCCGCAAGCCCACAAACACACACACGCACAAGCCACGCCTTGGTGACCCAAACAGATACAGCATTGAAATTGCTAAGCTACGAGTAAAACGGCTACGATTTGAGCTTTTTTTTTTTTTTTCTTTTGCCAAAACCTAACGTGACTGTAACTGTAAATGTAAGCTGTTATTTATTTTTTTTTAACTGTAAACCGTTAGCAAGACACCCCCTTGCCACAATGTATACTAAAACCAATACTCTATCTAAATCGTTGTGCTTCCATTCATTCTCTAAATATAGGGCGAAACTGAAAAACGTTTTGTGAGTAAAACCGCTTCCAAACAAACCAAACAAAACAAAAACAAACAAACAAACAAGTTTTTAGTAAAGCAACTAATCGTAATTGAATTTGAATCTGAATTCAAACTTAAGCTGCATTTAACTATGCCAAAATATATCCAAAAATAATCCAAAGAAAACCCAAAAAGAAAATCCAATAATAGTTGCCCATCTGTCACTTGTTCAATTTAATGTAACTTAAATGCATTGCCTGATATACTAACCTGCCATATACATACATACTTTTACATACATATGTTCGTGTATGTACTTATGTACATGCCTACATATCCACATAGTATGCCTTACATTTATGATAACAATCATAATCACACACTCACCACACACACATTTGTATATTGACCTTGTACAGAAAAAAAAATCATCACCTGAAATTCATCTCTCAGTTCCTTCCCCCGACCGGATACCGGATCCCAGCAAAGTATGAAAAAGTACTCGTATCCCCTGCGCAGATGTTGGTCTGGTCTGGCGAAAATTGTTTGCCTTTGGCATTAATCCCACACACACACACACACACACCACACACCCACACACCAACACACAGACGGATTAAACACTCACACCCAAAGGCATAGCCAGGATGGAGTACGGGTACTACTCGTAGAATGAAAGCCGCAAGACGGAAGCGGAAGGTTGCTTAGCTCTCCTCTCACTCAATTGATTTGGCTGAGCTCCCACTTTCACTCACTCACATACACTCATACACACACACACACACTCCTACGCACACTTTGCCTTACTTTGCTCTCTCACTCGCACTTTCTTTTCTTCCTTAATCACCTACTTTCTTGCTCTCCGTCTCTCGCTCCTCGTACTTTACCAATTGCTTCATCCAAACGCCATTTAGATGCTCCTCCCCTTTATCATCCACAAAGTGTTATCCGAAATATATGTGTACCTGTCAGTCCGTTTGTTCCAATTCTTTTCCCGTGTCTGATCTGATTCCCTTATCCATATGTATTTATCGACTATCATAAACCTCATCCTTATCCAGAAGAGACTGTACCTTTGCCTACCATCCTTTGTCCACTGTCTATAGTTTGCTCGCTTCTTGTGCTCTCTCCCACTCGCTCGTTCTGTCTATCTCTCTCTCGCAGCATAAATTGATCGCTCGCTAGACGTTGTAATCGTGTTATTAATCGTTATCGTATCTTAATCAATCGCTATCGTATTTGTTGTTCACCTTAGCCTTTGTTTTATGTCTACTAATCTGTCAGTCAGTCAGTCAGTCAAGTCAGTCATTTAAGAACCTTCCTCATTTGGTTGCCTGTAAATAATATCCGTTATCCAACCCTCCAATCTACCCCAAAACTACATCGACAACAACAACAACAATGTGTAAAACACCAATGAACCCAACCCAACGATCAATCGAACAGTCGGATGCGGAACGGGCACGTGAAGAGGGCGCCGCCCTTCAGGAGAAGCTGGAAAAGAGTCAGGGCGAGGTGTATCGGCTGAAAGCGAAGCTGGAAAACGCTCAGGGCGAACAGGAGAGTCTGCGCCAGGAGCTGGAGAAGGCGCAGAGCGGCGTCTCGCGGATCCATGCCGATCGCGATCGGGTAGGCAAAACAGTCTAGCTATAGCTAACCATCCTCCCCCTTCCTCCTGAACCCAACACACTCACGTTCACTGCCCAAAATCCATTGCCTAGGCCTTCTCCGAGGTTGAAAAGATCAAGGAGGAGATGGAGCGCACCCAGGCCACGCTGGGCAAGGCGCAGCTCCAGCACGAGAAGCTGCAGAACTCACTGGACAAGGCCCAGAACGAGGTCGACCATCTGCAGGACAAGCTGGACAAGGCGTGCACCGAGAACCGTCGCCTGGTACTCGAGAAGGAGAAGCTCACCTACGACTACGACAACCTGCAATCGCAGCTGGACAAGGCTCTGGGACAGGCGGCGCGTGTGCAGAAGGAGCGTGAGACCCTCACTCTGGACACTGATCGCATCCGGGAGAAATTGGAGAAGACTCAGGTATGCCCGTATCCCTGTCCTTCCACCTCATCCCACCACATCAAACCACTCTACCACACTACTCGTACGCGCATCTTGGAAGGTACTCTAAGAGGCATAGACCTAGCTTATCTGTGATTGTGATCGTAAATCTGTTGTGCTAAAACCCAGACTACTAATTACCCCTACAGACTATAGACTATTCTGAGCTACGGTTGCCAAAGTGCCAAAATTTATATTTTAAGGTTTTATATTTTCTCATGGCATTGGCATCCGTGCTCTGGGCACACTCAACACTAACCGAACACACACACACTCCTAGATTGATTGGTGTCTGATTTGTTGTGAACGTAACCCTATCTCGCTTAACTCTCTGATACCTGATAACTGACATTTACTACTACCATACCATACATATAACCCGCTGTGTACATGCATACCTATACATGAATATCTCTCCCCCTATCCGTATATACCAATATATCTACGTATGCGTAACTATTTTTCAACTGTCCCACAAACCCACCGACAACCCACTCACACTCGTTAAAATAAAACAAACAAAAACAAAAACCTTCCGCCACTTGGAAAATGGAACAGATGCATCTGGCACGCATCCAGAAGGAGCGGGATCAATTTTCAGACGAGCTGGAAACGCTCAAGGAGCGCTCGGAGTCCTCACAGACGCTGCTCATGAAGGCCGCTCGCGATCGGGAGGCGATGCAAACGGATCTGGAGGTGCTTAAGGAGCGCTACGAGAAGTCGCATGCCATACAGCAGAAACTCCAGGTAATTGCTACACCCCCAACCCGAAAACCAGATGAAGTTACACCAAACCCAGCCAGCCGAAAGAAAGGTATCCCCGATCAAATTATACCCCACAAAACCCCCCACAAAATTGGCTCTATCTAAACTCCACCTATGCCCTACATAACTACATACATATATATATGAATTGTCTATGCTGCATACTAACTAACTATCGAAAAATGCATGAGAACTGAAACTGAACCACCAGTGAAATTGGCTGTTTGTATATCTGTAGCTTACACTGCTTGGAGGCAATCCAACCCATCCAAGGCTGCGGCCACTCATTGAATCTCTTCTCCTCGTTGTGTGTGCTTTCAGATGGAGCGGGACGATGCCGTGACCGAGGTGGAGATACTCAAGGAGAAGCTGGACAAGGCACTGTACGCAAGTCAGAAGCTGATCGACGAGAAGGACACCTCGAACAAGGAGTTCGAGAAGATGCTGGAGAAGTACGATCGCGCCCAGAACGAGATCTACCGACTCCAATCGCGTTGCGACACCGCCGAGGCGGATCGAGCCCGCCTGGAGGTAGAGGCGGAACGATCGGGTCTGGCCGCCAGCAAGGCCCGTGAGGATCTGCGCAAACTCCAGGACGAGAGCACGCGGCTGCAGGAGGCCTGCGATCGGGCGGCACTGCAGCTGAGCCGAGCCAAGGAGTGCGAGGACAATGCACGCGGCGAACTGGAGCACCACCGGGATCGCTTCGACAAGATGCAGACGGACATCCGCCGCGCCCAAGGCGAGAAGGAACACTTCCAGTCGGAGCTGGAGCGCGTCACCTACGAGCTGGAACGGGCGCATGCCGCCCAAACCAAAGCGGGCGCCAGCGTGGAGGCTGCCAAGGAGGAGGCAGCCCACTACGCAGTGGAGCTAGAGAAGATGCGCGACCGATACGAGAAGAGCCAGGTGGAGCTGCGAAAGCTGCAGGACGTGGACACCTTTGGGCGCGAGACGCGACGCCTCAAGGAGGAGAACGAGCGGCTGCGCGAGAAGCTGGACAAGACGCTCATGGAGCTGGAGACGATCCGCGGAAAGTCGCAGTACGAGTCGGAGTCGTTTGAGAAGTACAAGGACAAGTACGACAAGATCGAGAACGAGATCCAGAACATGGAGTCGAAGCTGCACGAGACCAGCCTGCAGCTGGAGCTCTCCAAGGGAGAGGTGGCCAAGCTGCTGGCCAATCAGGACAAGCAGCGCTCGGAGCTGGAACGGGCGCACATCGAGCGCGAGAAGGCGCGGGACAAGCACGAGAAGCTGCTGAAGGAGGTCGATCGTTTGCGCCTACAACAGTCCTCGGTGAGCCCCGGCGATCCGGTTCGCTCCTCCGCCTCCACCTCGGGGTTGTCGGCGGGCGAGAGGCAAGAGATCGACCGGCTGCGCGATCGCCTCGAGAAGGCGCTGCAGTCGCGCGATGCCACCGAACTGGAGGCCGGTCGCCTGGCCAAGGAACTGGAGAAGGCGCAAATGCATCTGGCCAAGCAGCAGGAGAACACCGAGTCCACGCGCATCGAGTTCGAGCGCATGGGCGCGGAGCTGGGACGCCTCCACGATCGGCTCGAGAAGTCCGAGTCGGAGAAGGAGTCGCTCCGCCAGGCCAGCCGCAGCAGCGGAGGCGCAGCTGGAGGCGCTGCTGCTGCCGCCCATCCCCAGCTGGAGAAGCACGTGCAGAAGCTGGAGACCGATATCAAGCAACTGGCCATGGAGCGGGAGCAACTCGTCCTGCAGCTGGAGAAGAGCCAGGAGATCCTCATGAACTTCCAGAAGGAACTGCAGAACGCCGAGGCGGAGCTACAAAAGACGCGCGAGGAGAACCGAAAGCTGCGAAACGGCCAGCAGGTGCCACCGGCAGCCCCCGCCGAAATTCAGGCCATGCAGAAGGAGATCCAAGCGCTCCAGCAGAAGCTGCAAGAGTCGGAGCGAGCTCTGGCCGCGGCAGGACCACAGCAGGCGGCGGCGGCAGCAGCGGCAGCGGGCGCCAGACCCGAGGAGATCGAACAGTGGCGCAAGGTTATCGAGCAGGAGAAGGGACGCGCGGACATGGCCGACAAAGCCGCCCAGGAAATGCACAAGCGCATCCAGTTAATGGACCAACACATCAAGGATCAGCACGCCCAGATGCAGAAGATGCAGCAGCAGATGCAGCAACAGGCGGCACAGCAGCAACAGACGGCGGCAGGTGCCGCAGCCGGAGCCGGTGTCGATGCCAAGGAGCTTGAGAAGGTCCGAACCGAGCTCCAAGCCGCCTGCACCGAGAGGGATCGCTTCCAACAACAGCTGGAATTGTTGGTCCAGGAACTCGAAAAGAGTCAGGTGAGTGCAAACGATCCTCAACGGGGTTTCACCAATAATCTTCAAGCTAATCAAACAAAATCCATCCCCTTAAATTCATGGCAGCTCTCGAATCAGGAGCAGGCCAAGCAATTGCAGAACTCACAGCAGCAGGTGCAACAGTTGCAGCAACAGATTCAGACGCTGCAGCAGCAGATGCAACAACTGCAGCAGGCTGGCAGTGCCGGGGCAGCTGCCACGGATGTGCAGCGCCAGCAGCTGGAGCAGCAGCAGAAGCAGCTGGAGGAGGTGCGCAAGCAGATCGACAACCAGGCCAAGGCCACCGAAGGCGAGCGGAAGATCATCGACGAGCAGCGCAAGCAGATCGAGGCCAAGCGCAAGGACATCGAGGATAAGGAGAAAAAGATGTCCGATTTCGATGTGCAGCTCCGCAAGCGCAAGGAGCAGATGGACCAGCTGGAGAAATCCCTCCAGACGCAGGGCGGCGGCGCAGCGGCCGCCGGCGAGCTCAACAAGAAGCTCATGGACACGCAACGGCAACTGGAAGCGTAAGCTATCAGCTTTGCTCTCACTGAGAGTTCTCATTCATTTATTCATTCATTATCTCTTTTGCTTTGTGTCCTTTGCCCCCTTTAGGTGCGTGAAGGAGCTGCAGAACACAAAGGAGGAGCACAAGAAGGCGGCAACAGAAACGGAGCGTTTGCTGCAATTGGTACAAATGTCGCAGGAGGAGCAGAATGCCAAGGAAAAGACCATCATGGATTTGCAACAGTGAGTAGATCAAATCAAACAGAGAGAATAGAACAATCGTAAGCTTATTATCTTCCCCGTTCCGTTTTAGAGCATTAAAGATCGCTCAAGCCAAAGTAAAACAAGCACAAACGCAACAACAGCAGCAGCAGGATGTAAGTTCTCTTTAGCTCTCTCTTCCACTTGAACGTTCAACAAAGTTAAGCCCTCGTTTCCTTTTCTCTCTCTCTCTTTCCATAGGCTGGGCCAGCTGGCTTCTTGAAGAGCTTTTTCTAAACAAACAAGAAAAACCAACAAGCCCCCACACACCCACAGCTACATATGCAGATGCAGATATTTACCTAATACGATACGATAAACGAGAAGAACAAAAGCAAAAAGAAAATATACCAAAAGCACTGTCTACTATTTTGTATACTACCGATGCCAGATACTTATACCAACTACATAAATACCTACATAAATATGCAGCAGTATTTCTATGTACAACTCTCACATATAACACACACCACACCACCACCACACCCACACATTTGTAAATGACACTATGTAAATGCGAAATGAAAATGCAAAATGCAAATTATTTGATATATTTATGTGTATGTAAAATTAGGTTGCCGCTATACTCAAATTATGGATGCATTTAAATGTCAGCAGCAGCTCGCTCGTAAAGCTTAATTTTTCTCGAACTTTCTAAACTCTCTCTCTATCTCTCTCACTAACTCTCTCTCTCGATCCTTTTTCGAACTCAACTTAATGTTTACCGTTAGGCAACCACACACAACCTTGTCTCTCTCTTTCTCTCTGTATTTCTATAAAAACCACACCCAAACCAGAGCTTTCTGTCCAACACTTTCTCTCTGTCGTTACTGTAAAAGCTCAGGAACGTGACTACGCTACGTCTAGACTCTAGAGGCTAGACACCCACCACTCAAGCCCTGCATTAGCCATTGGTCTCCCAAGTGCGCGAATGTGATTCACAAGGGGAAGGAAACAAAAGAGAAGATAATTGACAAATACGAGTACGAGTTATCATAACTAATTTAATAAACTGTCAAAGTATAAGATGTATCTGATATGCTAGCCTCTGTTATAGTTAGTAAAACATTAACCAGTTCACTTTCCACACACATTCCACACACTGTACATAATGCATTGACATCCATCGTAGCCTAAATCATACAATACAACAAGGAGAAGAGAAGAGTATTGATGCAGAATATACAAATACCATATGTAGAGCAATAAATTATACAACAAAGATAATACAGATATGATATAGATATTGGGTACCATATATTATGTACTGTACTATACATGTATATTGTAGTTACATGGATTGCTATTACAAATTCTATTTAGGCGTGTACCAAAGAACTATACAGATCCAGTGGGGACGGACAAAGAATAAGCAGAACTTAAAGAGAGAATTAATACCTATAAATCGTAAAAATTAATATGTATAACACCGATAATAATAAACTCCGTTAAACGTTACGAGTACCATTGTACCAACACAATTTACAATGTATACTTATTTTCCATTAAATCAATCACACGCCACAACAAGAATACAACTCCCAACTAGTTGATCTAGTTAGTCGTACACAAGCTTTACTTTTGTCAGCTGTGAATCTGCATTAAATATCCGCACATACTCGAACTCGTAGCAGATATAGGAGATTCCAGTGCCAGTCTAGTCCAAAAGTCCCTCGTACATATTTCGTCTAGATGGAGTGCAGAAAGTGTTATCAATAAATGTTATCGATCATATATGACCTCTATATATGATATATAAATATAAATAATCATTTTATACGATACCTTATACCATAGAGAACATATTCAGCATTTTGATTTGTTTGGCCCACACTCACCGCCCTACGCCCTTATAATTTGCATATCCAAAATGTAGCTGAGACGAAAAAAGTAAAGAATGAACACTGAATGTAGAGAGAAGAGCATGGAGCGGGGAACAGAAGGGAATGGAGAATGACGGAATAATCACTGCCAATGTAAAGCAAGAATAAGGAAAGAGAGGTACATAGATACTCGTAGTTGGAAGTCGGTGTATTCATAGGCTATTTAAATTAGATTATCAGTTAAGTTCGGCTACGATACAGACCCAAAACCATGACATTCAGCAAAAGACGAAGCAAAAACACAACACAATCATATCATAGAAACCTATATCATACCCAAAATAAAGAAGAAGAAGATAACGATGAAAATTTGTAACGCTTTCAAATATCCTCGAAATATCCTCCTCTTACCACACAGAATGCAGAATAGAGATCAAAAGAAAGCTATAGAGTTATTTAACTCTCACTGGAGAATCCTATGCGAACTCCTCCCACAACCAATTACCAATTAGATAATCGATTAATGACCAAGTAAATTATGATAGAACATTCTGTAGCATTCGTTGCTTTGACCTTAGTTCCGCTTACATAGCATCGATAGCATTTGTGTATATAAGTAGCCCCAACCAGCAACCACAACCTCTTTCTCCACCGTCATAGTTCTTTGGCTTGGAACGACGGGTAAAATCGGAGTTGTAGAGTTCAAAATTAATACCCTACACGAGTTCGCAAGTCAAGTAATTGTTTAGAAGATTGAGCAGTTCGTTATTTCCCACCACCCCTCCTTTGAAAGCCGAGAGCAGAGCCCAAGCTGGCTTGGCAATTGTGTACATACGTGTGTAGTTATGTAAGCATAACAGAAACTGTATAATATATGAAAACTACCTATATGCAATAAACTGCAATCAGAATTCAATACACAAGATATTTGACAAACAAGAACAATTATCTATCGACAAATCAAACTTTGACAAAACACTCATACACAACGTTGACAATATAACCAACCCACACACACACACAAGCACACAAACAACACACATACAAACACACAGTGAAAAGACACCCCACAGATTACACTAGATAAATCGCTGGATCATCGTTGAATCATTTTGTACGATGCAATAACGCTAAATGGAAGAAGCCAACATATCCAACACAAGATAGCGCTGATCTCATGTCAACTAAAGTTAGAACAAATTTCCTCAATCACTTTCACTTTTTCTTCTTTTCACACCTCTACCACCTACAACCCTACACCTTCGATTTCGAATTCACCTTCGATATAGATTTCCAATTGTAGACGATGAACAGCGAGAGGAAACGTTTGCCTTTATCTACTTAAACTTACCACGTATCGTATTGTTAGCCTAGATAGTTTCAATTATAACAGCAAAAGCAGCAGCAGAAGCAAGAGGAGGAGAACTAACTAACGGTACTATCTACAATATAGTATTTACCGTAAACACTTTAATCATATTATCCCCGCCGTCGTGTACCCTACTTACAAATACAAATACGAGAAAACTAAAGGATAAAAAGAGGAGAACCCAAAAAAACCAAAAGTGGAAAGCTTCAAGAACTTTTTCTATACAAAACTCTAGCAAATATAAATAAAAAGAAACCAAACCAAAAATCTCGAATAATGTAATTTAGCAAATTGTAAACTCAATAAAGGCAACCAAAACAAACACCCAATAAATACGATAAATACTATTAGATAACAAGGGATCGGAACGGACCTGAGACAAATAGGAGAGATCGCAACAAGAGCCACTAAATGAATTTATATAGGAGAAAACTCGTGGTAGAATTAGGGCAAACGATCTCCAGAAAAAAAAAGGAAAAATCCCAGATTAGATCCCATTGTGTACTTCTTTGTACATAGACCTATATATACATACATACATATTTATATTTATGACTAGAGAAAATGCGTAAGATACATAGATGAATATAGGAAGACACATACATACAGATAAATACATATAGATATATTAACATACATATGCATAGCAGAGCGCAAATTATAAAAATACCGCAACATCATCCATCAGAGCCGAACATCGTAGTCAGAGCAGTTAGGTATATTGGCTAGAGAGGAAGCGGCGGAAGAGGGGAAAGGAAACCATAGTCCGAAACCGAAATCTACGAGAGAGCCCAAAAACCAATCCCATGCCGAAAACGAAACTGAAACTAAAAGGGACACCAGATATCCCCAGAGACATGAGAAAGAAGAAAAACCATTTCGTGTAAACATTTTTTTAAACAAGTTTTGGTGATCTACGATATTGGTAATAATTATTGATAAATAAAATAAAAGAAAATGCATATACATGCATATATTATACAAATATATGAGTAAAGAAGCAGTAGGAAGAAAGGAAAAGGTAACAAGAGGTGGCATACATAAAGTAAATATTTATTATATAATGTTTTTTAAGTAAAAATTACTTATAGATAAGCCATTATATATATATACACATATATATACATAATATATATAAATTATACATATATGAAACTACATAAGTTTACAAGGTATATGAACAGAACAAACACCCAAACCCAAATTAAGATCAACAACCACAAAAAACAAACAAAAAAACGCAACCGCAGCAACTAAACAAAAGAAGACAAAGCGAGTGGAGGGAATATATAATAATAATAAAGTAAATAAATTTATTATATACATACATACATAGAAGAATATTACAATGGAAAAACGTAACGGAAAATGATTGCGAGATGAAAATGATTATTTGAAACATGTTCATTATATATAAATGTCATTAAAAATGTTCTTCAAAACTGCCTACCAATAAAATATATTTCAAATAATATCTGCGCTCGACTCTTTCTGATCCTATCTGGGTGGGGAATCCGTATCCCATACAGCTACATAGTGAAATTAATTAATTAATAACAAATGATAATACGAGTAAACAGTTTTGTCAAATGATAAAAGGGATAATGATGATGTTATGTTTTTACTTTTACCATAATTTATGATTGATACTTTGCAGGAGATTCTATGATCTCAAGCCAAATCGGTTTCGGCAGCTAAAAATTATTCTATGCATACAATCATATATTTTGGAGTGTTACACGTACATACATGCTTGTTGTCCGTCGGCTCGTCCGTCATCAATCCCAGAGCCGAATGCGATCGGCCCCAGAGATATTTGTGGTAAAAGTGGATGTGTGTAACGCAGATAAGGAAACTTTTCCGACCACATAAAGTATATATATTCTTGATCAGCCTCAATAGCCGAGTCGATAAATTCTATCTGTCCGTCTGTCTGTCTGTCCATCTTGATGAGCGCCTAGATCTCAGAGACTATAAAAGCTAGAGCAACCAAATGGCAGAAAACCGTTAAATTCAAATCTGAGATACCAGGCGAACAGAAATCAGCAGAAGGTTGCTGGTTTTTTTTATTTCTCGTTTTTTCTTGTTTCTCTTTGTATTTCGTTGCTCTCTTTTTTCGAGCTAATTTCTCTCATTTTCTGCCTCCACTTTCCACCGCTCAAATGGCAGAAAACCGTTAAACTCAAATCTGAGATACCAGGCCAGTCCCCCCCCCCCCCCCTCACCGCCGGCGAACAGAAACCAGCAGAAGGTCGCTGGTTTTTTTAATTTCTCGTTTTTTCTTGTTTCTCTTTGTATTTCGTTGCTCTCTTTTTTCGATCTAATTTCTCTCATTTTCTGCCTCCACTTTCCACCGCTCAAATGGCAGAAAACCGTTAAATTCAAATCTGAGATACCAGGCGAACAGAAACCAGCAGAAGGTCGCTGGTTTTCTTTAATTTCTCGTTTTTTCTTTTTTCTCTTTGTATTTCGTTGCTCTCTTTTTTCGATCTAATTTCTCTCATTTTCTGCCTCCACTTTCCACCGCTCAAACGGCAGAAAACCGTTAAATTCAAATCTGAGATACCAGGCGAACAGAAATCAGCAGAAGGTCGCTGGTTTTTTTAATTTCTCGTTTTTTCTTGTTTCTCTTTTTATTTCGTTGCTCTCTTTTTTCGATCTAATTTCTCTCATTTTCTGCCTCCACTTTCCACCGCTCAAACAGCAGAAAACCGTTAAATTCAAATCTGAGATACCAGGCGAACAGAAATCAGCAGAAGGTCGATGGTTTTTTTAGTTTCTCGTTTTTTCTTGTTTCTCTTTGTATTTCGTTGCTCTCTTTTTTCGATATAATTTCTCTCATTTTCTGCCTCTACTTTCCACCGCTCAAATGGCAGAAAACCGTTAAATTCAAATCTGAGATACCTGGCGAACAGAAACCAGCAGAAGGTCGCTGGTTTTCTTTATTTCTCGTTTTTTCTTTTTTCTCTTTGTATTTCGTTGCTCTCTTTTTTCGATCTAATTTCTCTCATTTTCTGCCTCCACTTTCCACCGCTCAAATGGCAGAAAACCGTTAAATTCAAATCTGAGATACCAGGCGAACAGAAATCAGCAGAAGGTTGCTGGTTTTTTTAATTTCTCGTTTTTTCTTGTTTCTCTTTGTATTTCGTTGCTCTCTTTTTTCGATATAATTTCTCTCATTTTCTGCCTCCACTTTCCACCGCTCAAATGGCAGAAAACCGTTAAATTCAAATCTGAGATACCAGGCGAACAGAAATCAGCAGAAGGTTGCTGGTTTTTTTTAATTTCTCGTTTTTTCTTGTTTCTCTTTGTATTTCGTTGCTCTCTTTTTTCGATCTAATTTCTCTCATTTTCTGCCTCCACTTTCCACCGCTCAAATGGCAGAAATCCGTTAAATTCAAATCTGAGATACCAGGCGAACAGAAATCAGCAGAAGGTTGCTGGTTTTTTTAATTTCTCTTTTTTTCTTGTTTCTCTTTGTATTTCGTTGCTCTCTTTTTTCGATCTAATTTCTCTCATTTTCTGCCTCCACTTTCGACCGCTCAAATGGCAGAAAACCGTTAAATTCAAATCTGAGATACCAGGCGAACAGAAATCAGCAGAAGGTCGCTGGTTTTTTTAGTTTCTCGTTTTTTCTTGTTTCTCTTTGTATTTCGGTGCTCTCTTTTTTCGATCTAATTTCTCTCATTTTCTGCCTCCACTTTCCACCGCTCAAATGGCAGAAATCCGTTTAATTCAAATCTGAGATACCAGGCGAACAGAAATCAGCAGAAGGTCGCTG